TTGGGGTGAAAAAGGGAGAGAAATAAACACCGTGCAGGGAAGCAGAGCTGTTTAAGCTAAAGGAAACTGTTGGCACAAGAACAAATGAATATAAATTGGCTGTGAATAAATCGAAGCTAACCAGCAGAGGAGTGAGTTCCTGGAAGAGCTTTCCACTGGGAGCAGAGGGAGCAGTTCACCAACGTACTTAGAAGACGAAGCTTGCTCCTTTCCTTTCGTGACTGGGATTATGTGTGGCAGGGCTTGCCACAGCGAGGGATGGTCCTCATGACCAGGAAGCCTCCTCCGGTTTCTAACTGTATGTGGCCTTCAGGACAAACCTACGTCCCCTATGCAAAACACATAAATTAGAGTGTTCCCTGTAGGACTTGCAGGTTGGGGACAACTATAGTCCTCTTCCAAACCAGTCTGTACCTGCTGGACACAGTTTCCTCTCCGTGACTCCCTCGTGAAGCTGTGGGATGAGCTGTGGTTAGTAGCCTTTCCACCGCGGTGCCTCCTCACCGGTCGCGCTTCATCTCCTATGCAGCAAATGTGTTGGCTCTGCTGGTCTGAGGGGCTTTCTGTGGCAGTAGGGTCCAGGGGGGAGGGATTGTGCTAGAAGATAGCTTAAATGCTTCTTCTGCTTGATGTCAGTGCTGAAGTTTAGTCAGGAGTTACGTAGCACCTCCTTTTTTCATTTTTAAAGTACAGGGAAATAATAGTGAGAAGATAAAACTCTAAAATTGCCATTGCATAATTGAAATTATACCAGTACAGCACGGTCTCTTCCCAGTTTTCTCCCAGCATACATTAGGGTAGTGTGTCTAGTCTAGAAAGCAGAAGCAGAAGATTTTTTCCTGATGTTTTCTGCTTTATCCACACTTTGCTTTCAGATGCAATCTCAGTTGCAGGTGACATCATTCTTTTTCTGTTGTTCCTGACTCATTCCGCTGGTATGAAGGGGCTTTCCTCCTGCTGTTTGACTACTGTGAGAGCACATTTGGCCTTTGTTTATGTATTGAAGAGCTAACGGGTACCAAGCAGTCAGCAAGGATACACTGAGATACTCCTTTCTTCTAAAAAACACGTGGAGGAGGGAAATGGAACACCAAGGTTATTGCAGATCCTACCTCCAGTGTCACCTCGTATCATCTGCTGCAATATGGAGTAGCACGTATGGTGTGCATTGATTATGTGAGAACATGTATGTTTTAAGGGATTCCTTTTTTAAAACAGTATTTCTTACCATGCAGGTGTTTATGCTTCCAGGACACTGCGGGTTGTGCTCCCTGTTACCTCCAGTGTTTGAGCTTTCCCAGTAGAGGTGAGGCCAGTAGAAATCAAGGCCAACTTCAGCCTTGATTTCAATGAATTTGGTGGCTCTTTTTGCTCTGGAATTGAAAGCCATCTCAGAGCTCCCTCCTTCAAAGCTGGGGTGTTTTGAGACCCAAATCAGTATTTAGGTCACCTCCCTCTGTTCGTTTTAGGGTATTTTGGAGCCGGATGATAATGGCAACCTTTTTAAAAGAAAAGAAAATGAGCCAGGACAAACTGAGGTTTGGTAATGAGCATTGAAGTGGCATGAAAGTGACTGGTATTCTGCAAATGACCCCTGTTTAGCAGCTTTTTGGAGCTGTGTGCAGTGGGAGATAGCTAGTAGAATTGCAGCTTTTAATGGGGGCTTTTTTTTTTCAGGTCAGAAATTCTTAATAATAATACAGAGCTGGTGCTTCAGAGCCTTATGTTAGCAAACCTGACACTAGGGAGTAATATCATTGGCTTTCATGCGCCTATTTACTGTAATAAGGATTACCAACGTAAGTAAAACTTGCAGGTTTGGGCCTACTAAATTAAAAGAAAAGCCTTTTCACACCCTGAAACTGCATCAGAATTCAATTTCACCAGGAAAAAAAAAATCCTTCTGATCTAGTCCCTGGAATGTGACATTTCATGGGTGTAATAAGGTTACAAACAGATTATAAATTGAAACCCTATAAATCCTTATTGTACTGTACCAAAGCTTCTGCTTTGCATAATACTCTTATTCCTGACTGTTCTTTGTTTTACCAGCTCAAAACTATTCATTCCCTCTCATAATAGAGACCAGGGAGCCAAAAACACCGTGCAAAATCCAAAGGTAATTATCTCGGCCAAAGAACCTGAATGCCAGAGTTCACAAACTTCTGAACTTTTCTAATTGCCGTCGTTTGCTCAGTGAGACCTCCCTCTTCCCCTTTAAACACGTTGTGAATACTGCGCATTGGTTCTGCCAAATGCTGGTGATAAAAAATCCCAGTGTAGAGTTAGTTCCTATTTTGTATTTCAGTAGTTCTGCCTGTGTGTCCAGAGCAGATGACTGACCAGTTTTCAAGTCGTAACTTGAGCAAGTGAGGGTGTTTGAATCTCGTGGTCAGGACTACAAGTGCTGTGAATTACCTGAGAGCCCTCCTGGTTTCTGCTGTTTGGCCTCTTACTTGTCCTGATTTCATGTCTAGCAAGTGTCTTCTTCCAGACCGGATTTCCAGTACTTGGGCGCATTTATAGGTCTGCTCCAGTATCACCCCTCTGCAAAAAGCAACTGAACAGCTCATTCAAGAGCTACAGCAATTACCCCGATTAGCAGATGATGGCATGGACTTGTTTCTTCTAGGCTTCACCTGAAGGTGAGGATCCTCAGAGGGGTTGAATGAGAATGAGATAGTTTTGCAGGAGGCCACTTGGAGCATCAGAGCAATGAGGGGTTTGATTGTGGGAAGAGCAGAAGGAGTAGGAAAGGAGTGACAGGACAAGAGAGCAGGGCAGATGAGCATGGAGGGACACGGTTGTGCAGTGACCTGTGGGTGATCACAAGATGACCTGGGAAGAGGTGGATGATCAAGTCACCACCCTGGGCAAGCTTTGCCAGTCGCTGCGGTGAGCCTGGGCTGGGAGAGGGAGTGAGGGAGGGAGTCCTACACCCAAGAGAAAGGGCGGTTTTAGAGGATGCTCATGCTGATAGAGGCTAGAGGTCTGGAGGACAAGGAGCAAGCTCATTTGCAGGGTCAAAGAGAAAAAGTGTTCTATAGAGAATTTCTCTGAAAGCGTCCATGGTGCCTGAGTGTCCACACAGCGGGAGGCGAAGGGAGATGCTGTTGTGAGCTGATTGAACCAGCCTTGAAGTTTTTGTAACAAATGGAAAGCCTGTGTCACACAACTCAGTTTTCATTTCCCTCTTGGCCGTGTAGGTTTAACCAAATAACTCACTCTGCAATGTTTACAGAAAGACTTGGCCAAGAATTCCTTTAATGCGTTGAGTTTTGCCCCACTCCTTTTTTCTTATTCAGGAAAGAAGGGTGCACATTAACCTTGTTGTACTCCTCCAGTGCCATTTCACAGCCCAGGGCATCCGTACATTTTTGGTACAGGCATGGATAGTATGAATGGGCTAGAGATCTGTACTTGAAACAAAAATTCCTGCTGATTACATGTTGTACATTGTCCAGCACATCTGCTCGGTTCATGCGCTCTGCGCCCCGTCACAACTTTTAAGAAATGGCAATAAAGTTTCAGAAAGAGAAAAAGATCAGTCATCTTTTATAGGCAACGCACATCTGTTTGCCATGGCAATGCCACATAATTGTGAACATAAATTTTATTTGGTTTTCTGATTGTTTTCAGGACTTTGGAAAAGATTGGCATTGTTTTGCTGTTCCAGTATGAACTACTGAGTTTCTGTACGGTTGGCTTTTCCTATGGGCTTCTTACAGAGCAGATACAGGTTTCACCCCTGTGCTGTGATCAAATATAAAATCTGGAAGGATTTCGTCTAGTACGTTAATGGAAATAATCTTCATTTGCTGAGAAATGTGGCCATCTAGTGGCTCAGCTCACAAGCTGTGGTAGGAGGTAGAGCAACAGGAAAGTCTCTGAGACAGGGTTCCTTTTCTCCAAGAGTCAGGGAGGATGAGTCAGGCAGGTCCTGCTGAAATTCCAGCCTTCCTAAAAGTTTGAAAGTCCAGGTGTAAGTGCTTTTTTTGTTTTCTGAAGCTGTGCAAAAAAACCCAGAATCAAACAAACCTCCAAAAAAACAAACCAGTCTTGAGGCTGGCCCTGACTCGGCTGCCCATTTCTGCTCAGAAACACAACCAGCAAGAATTAAATCCATGTTTAAATGCTCTGCTGAACGGGGTCTTAGTGAAGGGTACATAACAAGCTACTTTTCTGGAAGAGTAAATGGTAGACAGCCCCAGCCCATCTCCGGAGACACTCACCCAGATGACAGTGACCACAGCAGGACACGTACATGCGTGTCAACAGGCCTGGGGCAGGTGTAGCTCCCAGAGACTTTCAAGCAAAGCCATACTTGGCAATGGCAAAAGCTGGCTTGATGGATAGAATCATAGAATCATAGAATTGTCTAGGTTGGAAGGGACCTTTAAGATCATTTAGTCCAACCATGATGTTTGTTGGATGCTTCTGTGCTCAGAGTTTTTTGTTACTGCAATAGGTAGGGCTTTGTTTCTGCTGCCACAACGTGTACATTTACTGAAAGAAAACACGGTGAGCTAAAATTTTGCTGGAAATGTGGTTTAGCAGTTCTGTGGGTGTGTTTTTTTTTTTTTAAGGTTGGAGGACATGTCTTTAAAGGCCCGATATTGTAAACCTTGTTTGTGTTGAGTGGCGCTGGAGTAAGGCTTTACTCCGGGAAAGCATTACTCAATGTGAATCACAGGAGGGGTGCCGTGCGTGAGCTTATCCAGGATCCATTTAACAGCCTTGTATCCCTGATCCAAAGCCTGTTGACGTCAGCAGAAACAAATTCATGGGCCTTAGTGGACTTCCAGTGAGATCTATGACTTGAACCCCATGATTCTATGATTCATTGCTTTGGAGCGCAGACAATCTTCTTATTCTTTTAGTACCGCAGGATCCTGGTCCACACCTGAGCCTCTGGTGCCATTCCAGTGCAAAGTGACAGTAAGGCTGATGGCCGTGTTGCATTTCTGTTAAGCTATAATCTCTCTCTTCTACCCAAACAGCATATAAACAACGACCATATACATGGTGAGAAGAAAGAGTTTGTGTGCCGATGGCTGGACTGTTCCCGGGAGCAGAAACCATTCAAAGCCCAGTACATGCTGGTGGTCCACATGAGGAGACATACAGGGGAAAAGCCACACAAATGCACTGTGAGTAAAAAAGGGTCTGAGCCCCAGGCTCAGACAGGGCAGCCCAGGGTTGTGCAGGGAACAGATGCTCCAGCATCTCTTACCCATCAGATATTTGTTGGGAGAAGAGCCCACTTCGTTATCCAGCTTGCCCAGGTGACAGGAGCTGCAGGAAGGGGAATTCACTGGATAATTTGGCCCACTTCCTCAAGTTTAAAGCGCAAAGAAGCCCCCAAAGGCATTATTATTAAACAGGGCTCAGTTTGCTTAATTATTTAAAAGCACTTTCTCTTACAGAGCTACATCTGGGTATTATTGCTGGCCACCAGCCTCCTAATGACTTTGCAAAGGATTTCTGTCTTAGGTGACGTACACAAATACTGTGCTCTCCTGTAAGAGAAGATTTACATAATGCTGGAAGCATTTTAACTTGAGCTGCGAAACCCAGGGGTTTGCCTGGGTAAAATTAAAAGCCAACAAATCAAACCAAAATCACGTTGGGCAAGGTTATGAAGGCGTGGGAAGTTGCCAAACTCTTATAGGTCAGCTTTTACTGTTTCCTGCAAACCCAAAGGTTAAAATTAATCCAGACTTACTTCTTGTCTGCAGTTTGAAGGTTGTACAAAGGCCTACTCCAGACTAGAAAACTTGAAAACGCACTTGAGATCTCACACTGGAGAGAAACCGTATGTGTGTGAACACGAGGGCTGCAACAAAGCTTTCTCCAACGCATCCGACAGGGCCAAGCACCAAAACAGGACTCATTCCAATGAGGTAAGTAAGCATTGCTTCAAAAATATAATGAAATCTGGAGTCAAACAGATTTACAACGTGATCATAGCAATTTATTACAGAGGACAAGGACAGAAACCCTCAGCAACCCAAAAGGGGTAAGTTCTAGATGGGTCTTATGAGCACAGTCATTCCGGTGTCATATGGACCTGGAGAGGCTGTGGGTCATTTTATTAAGTGTAAGAAAGGTTTGAAGGAAGAGGAGTCTAATGGCATCTGGCCTGTTAATCCAGACTGAAACGCTGGGGCTGTTCTCCCCCAGAGCCAGAGGGGCTGATGCAGCCCCCGGAGCAGGTCCCCTCGCCTGGGCTGGTGGGGACACCTGGTGGCTGTGCATCCCCAGCGCCCACCGCATCCCACAGCATCCTTCTCAGCTGCTGTGGACACCTAGAGAGGAGTCTCCAGGGTTTGGGAAATTCGGGTTGCCCTGTAAGTTTCTGAGTTACGCCTGTTTCTCTCTTTCTTTCCATCCTGAGCAGACCTCGTGGAGTAGGGATCGTAGAATCATAGAATGATAGAATGGTTTGGGTTGGAAGGGACCTTAAAGATCATTGAGTTCCAACCTCCCTCCCACCTTGCACTAGAGAAGGTTGCTCAAGGCCCCATCCAGCCTGGCCTTGAACCCCTCCAGGGATGGGGCAACCACAGCTTCTCTGGGCAACCTGTTCCAGTGTCTCACCACCCTCATAGCAAAAGATTTCTTCCTGAGATCTAAGGGTTATTATCTGCATCTAGGGATGCAGTGAAAGGAATTTGATCTCCCTCAAGGAAACCAGCTGTGGCAGTCACAGCCGTCCCCCAAACTCTTGGTATAACACCTCTTTATTACTGTGTGTTTCCTGTTACTGCTGCCCCCCCTCTTGCAGGAATTGCACCATCTTCATGCCTTGTTCCTGTTTTATTGCCCTCAAGCAAACCAGCTGTGGCAGTCACAGCCGTCCCCCAAGCTCTTGGTATAACACCTCTTTATTACTGTGTGTTTCCTGTTACTGCTGCCCCCCCTCTTGCAGGAATTGCACCATCTTCATGCCTTGTTCCTGTTTTATTGCCCCATTTCAGGTTACACAGGGAATCTCATCATCTCAGTCTCACATCTCAGAGCCCAGGCTCTCCTCCTTGACCTGTCCCTATACTCCTTCACTTCTGGCCTAACCCTGGAAGTACTGGAAGGGTAGGACATACCAGCACGGTTACTGTGTGTTTTGGAAACCACAGCAGCTATATCCATTTTTACGAGGCTTGTATCCTGGGATATTAATCTGCACCTAGGGATGCAGTGAAAGGAATTTGATCTCCCTCAAGCAAACCAGCTGTGGCAGTCACAGCCGTCCCCCAAGCTCTTGGTATAACACCTCTTTATTACTGTGTGTTTCCTGTTACTGCTGCCCCCCCCTCTTGCAGGAATCACACCATCTTCATGCCTTGTTCCTGTTTTATTGCCCCATTTCAGGTTACACAGGGAATCTCATCATCTCAGTCTCACATCTCAGAGCCCAGGCTCTCCTCCTTGACCTGTCCCTATACTCCTTCACTTCTGGCCTAACCCTGGAAGTACTGGAAGGGTAGGACATACCAGCACGGTTACTGTGTGTTTTGGAAACCACAGCAGCTATATCCATTTTTACGAGGCTTGTATCCTTCTCTAGCAGGCATTCACTAGGGCTGGCAAAATCTCCTGGGAGTGTTCATCTTCTTCCAGTCCCCTGGTCCCTCCAGCACCTTTTGAGTCAGAAGGGAAGCAGAGAGCGTTGCACATCTCTGAGTTCACCCCATCCCTGTGGTGTGGGCTCTCAGCACCCTGACTAACAGCTGTGCAGAAGCCCAGCAGCAATTTTGTGAATTGTCATCAAGGTAGAAGGAAGGCCACCGAGTCTCGCCAATAGGTTGAGGGCTTTTTTTTCATTCACTGTCTGAACCAGTCCATTTGTTGCCTAGCTGGTGAGTAAGATCCTCACAAACATAAAGACGTGGCCCACACTGCCTGTGTTTTAAGATCAGGTTTTCATGTCTAACAGTAAGTCACCAAGAAAAATTTTTTGCTGCACATCATCTCTGGTAGGTGGAGCAGGAAGGGCAAATGAAAAATGTCCTTCACTGTTATTTCAGAACCAAACAGACTAATATTCTCAAGCAATGTGTACTGATGGGGTGCCATGAATACTGTGGAAAGCACAGACCCAATTCAGCACTTCTTCACAGTGCCGTTTTGGCTGTAAGTAGGTAACCCACAGCCAGATTTAAAAGCAGTGATGTATCTTGATGCAGATGTGCCTTACGCTTGTAGAAGTACTTGTACTTCCATTGCCTCTTTCCCAAAGCTGCCTCAGTAGCTCAGCTTTAACTTGCTCATGATCGACATTTTTGCACCTCTTTGAGTCAGTTGGGAGTGTTTTTCCACTGACATCAGTGGAGACAGGCTCAGGCCTTAGGTGGCCATGAAGATGCTACATTTATCAAAGGCTCCCCAGTGCCATGTGTAAGCAGACAGAGAACACCTTTGAGGAACTCTGCATGAGGTTCTCTTTTTTTTTCTTAATTCTTGAAGGCTAGTATAAATTTGGTTTTAAAAGAGTAGTTTCTTGGGAACAATTCAGTAATAAAAGTGATGGAATGATACTTTGTTCCCTGAGGAAACGAAAAGTGTTCAGGAAGAGCTCATCTCTACTTTGTAACCCTCTCATAATACAAGAACAAAGTCTTTGCTGAATTATAAGACAGTAAGTTTACTTTATTCTACATTGCTTAGAGACATTCACAAAGGAAGTGGGGTTTTAGAA